AGAGACGTTCATGGCACTAAATGGTTACAAGAAAGAAATAAAGAAAAAGAAAGAAAGAAGGAAGGAAGGAAGAGAGGGAGGGAGGGAGGGAAAGAATGAACAAACCACCTGATGTCACACTACAAGGAACTAGTAAAATGAGAACAAACCCAAAGACAAGAAATAACAATGATCAGAGCAGAACTAAATGAAATTGAAAGAAACTAACAAAAATATAAAGGATCAATGACAAAAAGTTGTTTCTTTGAAAAGATAAATGAAATAAATGGACAACTCCTTAGGTTAACCAAGAAAAGAAGAGAAAGGATTCAAATAAGCTCAATAAGAAATAAAAAAGGAGATATTACAATTGACATCATAGAAATACAAAAGATACCCAAGTCTTCTATGAATACCTCTATACACACAAGCTGGAAAATGTAGAGAAAATGTATAAATGTATGGAAATGTACAATCTCTTAAGCTTAATAAAATAAAATACTCAGGAAAATATTTAACCAAGAAGGTGAAATATGTCCTCCAGGAGAACTGCAAAATACTTATAAAAGACATCATTGATGTCATAAACAAATGGAATAAAAGCCCATGCCCGTGGATTTGAAGAATCTATGGTTTGGCACCTGTCGCACAGTGGTGATGGCACGAGCCACATACACCAAGGCTTATGGGTTGGAAACCAGCCCAGGCCAGCTAAAACAACAATGACAACTGCAACAAAAAAATAGCTGGGCATTGTGACAGCCGCCTGTAGTCTCAGCTACTTGGGAGGCTGAGGCAAGAGAATCACTTAAATCCCAGGGTTTGAGGTTGCTGTTGCTGTGAACTGTGATACCACAGCTCTCTACTGAGAGCAACATAGTGAGACTCTGTCTCAAAAAAAAAAAAAAAAGAAAAGAGAAAAAAAAAGAATTTATATTGTTAAAATGTCCACACTGCCCAAAGTGATTTACAAATTTAATGCAATTTCTTTCACAATATCACAGTCATTTTCTACAGAATTAGAAAATACAAAACTAATTGTTATATAGAAGCAAAAAAAAGCCGAAATAGCCAAAGCAATCCTGAGCAAAGAATATATCTGGAGGCATCATATTATCCAATATCAAATTAAATAAGGTCATAGTAACCAAAACTGCATAGTACTGGAATAAAAGTAGACATATAGATCAATAGAACAGAATAGAGAATTCCCAAATAAAACCATATGCCCACAACAAATTTATCTTTGACAAAGCAGACAAAACATATACAAGGGAAAGGACACTGTATTCAATAAATGGTGCTGGGAAAATTGGATATCCATATGCAAAAGAAAAATACTGGACCCTATCTCTTATCATATACAAAAAATTAAATCAGGATAGATCAAATAATTAAATTTAAATACTTAAATACTAAATACAAATGCTTAAATTTAGAAATACCTGACACAATAAAAACCACAGAAAAAATTGAGAAAATAACTCTTCTGGACATTGGCATAGGCAAAGAACTGATGACTAAGATCACAAGAACAAATACAACAAAAACAAAAGTAAATGAATGAGACTTATGGGTAAACTAAAAAGCTTCTGCACAGTAAAAAAAGAAAATCAATGCAGTAAATAGATAACCTACAGAATGGGGGGAAATATTTGCAAAGTATATATCAAACAAAGGACTAATTTCCAGAACTCAAACAAATTAGCAAGAAAAAAACAAATGACCCCATTAAAAAGTGGACAAAAGACATGAACAGACATTTTCAAAAGAAATTATACAAATGGCCCACAGACATATAAACATGTTCAACATCACGAATCATTGGGGAAATGAAAATTAAAACCATATTACTCCTATCAGAATGGCTAATATTAAAAAGTAAAGCAACAATGAACAGTGAGAATGGAATCCTTATACACGATTGGTGGGAATGTCAACTAGTACAACTTCTATAGAAGGCAATGTGGCGATTCTTCAAAGAAATAAAAGTAGCCCTACTCTTCAATCCAGCAACCCCACTACCAGGTAACATACTGAAAGGAAAAAAAAAGGCAATGTACAAAAAAAAAAAACCACCAGTATTTATCACTGCACAAATCACAATTGCAAAGATATGGAATCAATCTAAGTCCTCATCAACTGGTGGGTGGATAAATAAAACATGGTGTATAGGTACCATGGAGTACTATGCAGCTGTACAAAAGAATGAAATAGTGTCTTTCACAGCCACTGGGATGGGACTAGAACGCATTATCATAAATGAGGTATCTCAGAAACAGAAAAGCAAATACTGCATGCTCTCACTTATAAGTGGGAGTTAAACAATAGGTATGTATGGTCATACAGAGTGGAACTTTGGAGTTCAGTGGGTGGGAGGAATTGAAAAAGGGTGAGGTTCTAAAATTCACCTGTTGAATACAATGTGCACTGTACAGGTGATGTGTACACTATAATAGAAGCCCTAACTTTATCGTAATACTATTCATGCACATAACAAAAACCGCTTGTTTCCCGTGAATCTAATGAAAGTTTTAAAAATAAGACAAAGAGAGGGCAAGTTGCTGGTTTTGATGCCTCTGCAGTCTTCTCTGACCATATTTTCTTGAGGACCCTTTTACCCCTTTGGGATTCAGTTATCACAATTCTAAATAAGGCAGCTGAACTCAGTTAGTCCTCGTGTTCCATCCTTCATTTATAAGATTTCATAGCCCCAAATCGTATCTGTATATTGCTCTATGTATTAGGAAAGACTGGAAGGGTCTTGCTATGTCTGTATCTCATTACAGGGGGATCACCACTTTAGAGAAATAAACTATTAATATGAGAGCATTTAACTTGGAAGCAGAAGATGTGAACTTGAAACTCTGGTCTGCTACCAATAAGCTATGTAAATATATTTGTGGTGGAAGTCATTTAAACTCTCCAACCCTCTGTCTCCTCATTTTCTAAGGGGGGGGATAAATAGATGATTGATAGAGATAGATAGATAAATAGATAGATAGATAGATAGATAGACAGATAGATTGATAGATAGATAGATAGACAGATAGATAGACTTATTTCCACAGAGGGGGAACAGCGCTATCTGATCTCTCACAAAGGATTCTTAGAGGATTAGTTAAGTTGCTATATGTGAACACTGATATGAAAAGGCAAAGGATGTCTACTGTGCCATTGTTTGTTTTTGCCCTAATTCAGAATCTCCTGTTGGCTAACCAGAGGGAAAGCTGACCTCTCTCTCTGAGCTCAGAGTTAAGGCTTCTGAGAGAAGTTTCTTCAGTGAATGGTGGATCAAAGATGAATTATGAGAAATTTTTGATGAAAACTATTTTTTATTTTAAAAATGGGAGGAGGATGGTCTACCGCAATATAGTTTTTGACAAAATTCCTCACTCAGAAAACGGATATTTAGAACACAATGAAACGATACACTAATAAAACTTTATGCTCTTACACTATATAAAGTTTTTAACGTATATAGCACGTTCAGATTCATTATCACATTTAATCCTGTACAATAAGTTCCATCATTCTTATTGAATACATAGGAAAACTAAGGCTCAGGGAGAGAAGCCACATGCCTCAAGTCACATAGTTATAAATATTGGAGGAGGATTTGGCTCAGGTCTTCTGATCCACGCAGGGTTCTGTGCTCTATACCATCGCCTTAAAATGTTCCATTCCCCTTTTACAAACCCTGTCAACATCAAAGTTAGAATATAAAACTCTAAATGCTGTCTTCTACAGAAACGTCTGCTTCTAAGAGGATTTTCATACTATGACCTTAGTCTTTATCAAGAATTTCTATAATAACTTTATGTAGATGTATTGTTTCTGCATTTTCACAACCATTATAAAGAATGTGGTCTATTATCTGTTCAATTATTTAACAATGCCCCTGATGATGAAAACCCTTTTAGCATTCAGTTTTGCAAAAAATAATCATGATAACATCCCCTGCTACCGTGAATGATAGAGGTCCCTGCATCCAAAAAATAAAATTATTAGTCGCTAGTCCTTACCCATAGCACATGTTTTCCTTAACTTTTGACATCTTTCTCCTTGCGTTACTTGTCTTCTCCTAATTTCTTATCTGCTACCCTACTTTAAATATTCTAAATATTATTTGAATCCCCTTCCGTTCATGAAATCTTTCTCGACTACGCCCAACAGGGAAGGCCCCTCTTCTGAACAACACAATTTGTTACCTGTAGTTTACATATAGTTTATCACATATTGTTACATGGTGTGTTTTCTCAGTTTCAAAATCCAAAAAAAAAAAAAAAATCAGAATTAGGCAATGTTTGTTAAATGTATACTATATACCAGCACCATACCCAAGCTCTTTGCATAGTAACTCTTTCAAGAAGACACGCTTCCTTAAAAATTGGGGCTAGATGTTATGTATCAGTACGCTCAGTATGCTCCCGTTTCCTACCGGAGTGGATAACATAGAGCGAGTAGCCAACAAATACATTTATTAACTAGTTAAGTTACTGTCCTCTTTTGACTTAGAAAAAATGTAGGGATAGAATTGTCCTTAGAAACTGTCTCATCCAACTCATTTTTTTTTTTTTGAGACTGCTATGGTGTCATAGCTCACAGCAACCTCAAACTCTTAGGCTTAAGTGATCCTCTTGCCTCAGCCTCCCAAGTAGCTGGGCATACAGGTGCCTGCCACAACACCCAGCTGTTTTTAGAGATGGGGTCTCAGTCTTGCTCAGACTGGTCTAGAACTCCTGAGCTCAGGAAATCCACCTGCCTTCGTCCCCCAGAGTACTAGGATTACAGGCACGAGCCACATACCCAGCCCCAACCCCTTATTTCACAGATGAGCAAACTAAGACCTGGAGAATAGAAGTGCTTACTTGAGGTTAGATAGCAAGTAAGACACCTTTCATATAAAGGAATAAGCAAAAGAAGATAAGACTCCACCAACTGGGCTTTATGGCCCAAGAATGAAATGAGGAAACATTGGACATCTCCCCTTGTAAAGTATGTAAAAGCTGATTCATTACCTGGATAAATCCAGCACTTGCAGTTCTGAGAAACTGTAGAAGCTATGGCTGCCTAAGTGCCCCAGGGGGTTAAAACTCAGGTCCAGATTCTTGGTTGAGGAGGGTATGTTGTCGGGGATTTTGTAGAGATTCAGCTCCATGCATTGGTAAGTAATGTTAGGAACCACCTGCAAGGACCACACGTTAGAAGCAGTGTCTGTGCTGCATTCTCTCCCAACTCCCCTCTCCTAGACCAGAGACTGGGTGGGTGGCCTCTGTGGCAAACACAGATGCCAGTCAACCTTCCTTCATCCATCCCTCCATCCATCCATGAATCCCATTATCCACTCACTTCATACCTATAAAAGCTCTTACTCTAGATTAGGGAGAAAAGAGCATCTACTACACACTCAGTGCTTTAACCTCAATGGTAACATCTACTAAGGGCTGAGCTCCTGGGGTCTAAAGGCTCTGGGTTTCATACCAGCTATCCTGAGTAATTTGGGGCAGTCACTTTGTTTTTGTTATACCTCTGTGAACCTCATTTTCTCATATATAAAATACAGATAATAAAATATTCAGAGTCATTCTGAATATTCCCTATGTGCACAGCCTTGAGGAGACAACCAGTCTAGAGGTTCAGACCTCCCCAAGCCATAGACCAATTTTTGACAATTACATTCTCTTCTTTGGCTCATTGGCCTTTGAGCAGAGTGGTGCAGAGATGGGGAGAAGTCTTTAGAGTGCCTGGGCTATGGCAGTGCAACCAAGTAAATAAGGTCAAGTGCTTTATGCTCTCTTGGTTCCTGTCCTGGTTTCTAACCTACTTTCTCATATTCTTTGTAAGCCTAATTCTCTAACCTCCCATCTCATTTCTGAATTCCCTTATTTCCTCCAACAAAATTCCTTTCTTAAGCCAGCTAATTTTGGTTTTCTGTTGTTTAAAACTAATACAATCTGTTTAAAGGATTACATGAGATAAGGTATTTAAAGAGCTTATTTCAAAGCCTAAATGATCAATAAAAGTTAACATTAATTATTAATAGTTATTATTAAGCCCTTGCTATATGCCAGCATATTTCTTACATGTTGCATACTTTACCTTAGTCTTCAAACAAGCCTTTTAAAGATGAAGAAAACAGAAATTCAAAGAGACGAAGAAATATGCATAAAGTTACAGAGTTCATACATGCAAGTCTTCACTCATTTGCATGTCTGATTAAATGCTACTTAACACGGGCACCTCAAAGACAGTGCTGCCTAATAGGAGCCAGTGCCAGACACCCTTCTCTTCCCCTCCTTTGTTTTCCTCCAGAGGATTTATCACTATCCAACATTATTATGTCTGTGGGATTGTTCTCTATGTATTGTTCACCTCCTGCACTAGATTGTAAGATTTGATGGTTTTGCTCACTGCTTTATCTCCAGCACTCAGAATGGTGCCTGGCAAAAGGTTAATGCTCAATAAATATTTGTTGAATAAATGAATGAATAGCTGATTGAATAACTGATTAAATAGAGCTTTGCTTATGTTCAAATTATAAGCATTTCCTGCTAAGCACAGTGGACAGTGCAAAGAAAAACATGATATGACTCCAGACTACAATGGACTCACAGTGGACAGTAAGAATTTAAAAGGAGCAAAATGGACCACCTTGTCTAAAAACTGCCCTAAAACTAGCTTGGAAAATATGTCCTCTGTGTCAGAGAAAAGGGAGATAAATGCTGGATCCTGAAATGACTTCCTAGAAAGGGAAGATTTCAAGGTGTATCTTGAAAGATGAGTAAGGTTCAGATACGTGGAAAGGGGAAGAAGGATATTTCATAAGGAGACAGCAGCATGAAGCAAAGAAGGGACGTAAAACTAATTCCGATTAACTAGTGAGTACCAGGAGTTGTGAAATGTAAGTCAGAGGGGACGCCATGGCCAGACCAGGAGGGCCTCAGACTTTGTCCTCCAGCCGTTATTCTAATAATTTAGCACATATAAATTGAGCAGCTACTATGTGCTAGGCACGGATAAATAAAACCAACAATGATCCTTCCTTCTTATAGATTCCATTCTAAAAGGAAAGGCAGATAACAAACAAACAAAATATATAATGATGTGCTCCAAAAAAATTAATCAAGCTAATGGGATTAGAGACAAATAAGGAGTGGCTGGGGTAGTCTACATGTGGCGGCCAAGGAAGACTGCCCCGAGGAGACACTGCCCTTCCTCAGGAAGACTGCCCTGAGGAGACACTGAAGGAGAGATTTTTGAATAGTAAGACCAAGCCATGAAAATGACCGGAGCTGCACTGTCCACCGGTAGCTGCTAGCTGTATACAGATACAGAGCATGAGAAATGTGAATAGTCTAAGTTGAGATGTAGAGCAAATGCAAAATATATACTAAATTTCAAAGACATACTAACAAACAAGGAATGCAAAATACTCTAATAATGGTGAAATGTATATTATATTTTGAAACATTTCAAATATACTAAGTTAAATAAAAAAATATTATCAAAACTAAATTCACAGATTTCTTTCTTCTGTTCTTAATGCAGCTTCCAGAAAGTTTTAAAACTATAACTTTGGCTCACATAATATTGTCATTGGACAGCACTGATCTGGGAAGGAGGGACTATAAGTAAAGAAAATAGTCAGTGCAAAGGCCCTGGGGTAGAAACTGTTCTAATGGCAATAGAAAGTGATTAAAAGTTTTCAAGGATTGTAATTTGGTAGAAAAAGCCTCAGGAAAAAACAAACAAACAAAGTATACGGAAAGAATTAAAGGACCAAGACTATGGAATTAAGGAACATCCAAGAGTAACTGAGGGCCAACCCTATGGGGGGCGCTGAGGAGGTGCTCAGGCACAGACGGGCTTTGGGTAATGATAGGATGAGAAGCACGGGCTGAAAAAGGAGTCAAGTGTAGCTGTGGTTTTATCTCAGAGTGACCCTGATAGGAGCCCTGTTAATCTAACAGGAGGAGTGATAGAGAGGAGGGCAAGGAATAGGACCGTGGACACGGACGTGGGGGAAGGGAAGACTTGGCGATAACAAATTTGTCCTTGCTAAATATTACCACTGTTCTCTCATGTCTTCAACTTCAGGACTCCGGCTTATCACTTTCTTGGCTGTTCTGTCCTACTGTGAGTTTCTAAAGCAGTGATTCTCAACCTTCCTAAGGCTGCAATGTCTCTTTATTGTTACAAAGGGGTCACGACCCACAGGTTGAGAACCGCTATTCTAAAGCAACTGTGAGGTCCCTGCAGGGGAAGGGGAGGGCTAAACGGTTTGTGGGTGGGGACAAAAGGGATCCACCATGAATGAAATTACCAATTGGCAGGAGGTATTTACTCAAGAGAGAAACTAGTGACATTAGCTGGCATGTTACATCTTTCTCTGTCTTCCTCTCTCTCTCTCTCTCTCCCTCCGACTCTCCTTTTCTTCTCCAGGCTCTTACTTTCTTCATCCTATGTCTGGACAAAACTATACAACCACATATGGTACTCTGAACTCCACTTACAAAGCTCTTTCTCTTGAGAGACGAAAATGCCACCTTCTTCCTGAGATCGAAAATGGCAGGGTGACTGCTTGAAGCTGAGCGTTCAAACCACCAGCAGAAAGGAATGGCACTAAGCAGTCTCCTTACGACTCCCTAGCCAGGTGGATATAATTGCAATTCTTTTGTAAATGTGAAAACTATTCTTAGAGAGGTTTCATAACTTCTTCAAGGCCCCACAGCCAAAAGGTCACAAAGCAGGGATTTTAAATGGGTCTATCTGACCTAGAGCCCCTGTTCCCACTCTAAAATCCTTAATGGAACAAGTCCCCACTGGCTGCCTGTTAGTGCCCTGTAATCATGAATTATTTGGTGCCTGTTAACTTCTTTCTGAACAGTAAACTAAACAGGGCACCCTGTGGGAAGTTCCCGGCCGAAGCTAGGGAAAGCTTTCAGACGGGCTGGCTCTAACCACGTACCTCCACGCAGGGTTCCCAGCTTTCCGGTCGCAGGCAGGAGAGGAAGGCCATGGCGGGGATCAGAGCCCCAGCCAGGCGCGAGAAAAACATCATCCCGGCATTTTCTGTGAGCAGCAGTGGCCCGGGGAAAACATGATGCCTTGTAGCCACCTGACCTGGCGGTCTCAGAGGCACTGCTGTCTTCTCCTCTGAGCTGGTGCCCACTGGCAATTACTGCATTCAAAGCAGTCAAGGGTTGAGAGGAAGTGAGAGTGGCAACCTTAGCATTCTGTACTTTTGTTTCTCTAATATTTATCTCCCTTGTCACAAGAGGGGAAGTTAGAAGAAGAAAAAAAAAAAGGTCCACAGACCAGTGGCTGGAGTAACAGCAGGAGGAAGCTGGCTTTTATCCCAGGAAGTCATCTGACCCCTGGGCTTGGTGAACTTAGGAAACAGTCAGACTCTGTTCAAACAGACTATATAACTACTTAGGATGACGATGGCTTTCCAGTTTTGTTTTACTAATGGAAACCTGATGTTTGCACTATTTTTCCAGGACTCCTGTAAGAAATTACCATGTGCTGGGTGGTTTAAACAGCAGAAATTTAATTTTCTCACTGTTCTGGAGGCTTTAAGTCTGAGATCAAAGCTTTGGCAAGAGTGTCCATGTCCTAATCTCCTTTTCATACAAAGATACTAGTTGTGTTAGATTAGGGCCCACCCCAGTAATCTCCTTCTACTTTAATTACCTCTTTAAAGGCACTGTCTTCAAATACAGTCCCAGCATAAGGTAGTGAAGGTGAGGACTTTAATATATGAATTTTGATGGGACACAGTTTAGCCCATAATACATCTTCTTGTGAAGAAATTCACATAAGAAACTCATTGAAACTAAAGCTCCAGTGAAACATAGTTTGAAAAACACAGGAATACCCAGGCTATTCTGGGAGGCCAAGGTGGGTGGATTGCCTGAGCTCAGGACTTTGAGACAAGCCTGAGCAAGACTGAGACCCTGTATCTACTAAAAAATAGAAAAAACTAGCTGGGCATGGTGGCACATGTCTGTAGTCCCAGCTACTCAGGAGGCTGAGGCAAGAGGATCACTTGAACTAGGAGTTTGAGCTGTGAGCTATGGCGATGCCACAGCCCTCTACTCAGCATGGCTGAATAAGACAAGGTCTCAAAACAAAACAACAAAAAAACAAAGACAATATCGGATGATTGGGAAAAGTTTGGGATTCGGAATCAAATATACTGAGTCATGGCTTGTGGTCTTTATTAAGTCACTTAAACTCCTGAGCCTTAATTTCTAGTCAATAAAGTGGGATAATAGGTCTTAATCAAAACAAAAGCTTGTGTTTATAACATTCATGAAAATAAAACTATGGGAAGGTAAATTTCACAAAGCTACCAAGCCTCAGTTTTCTGGTCTTTAAAATGGGGAAAATCATGTTCATCTTGAATGATTGAATGAAGCTAAGTTACATAAAATGTCTACCATGTCAGTGTATCAGCATTGCATTCCCTAAATAATAGATGGAGATTAAAGATGTGGCTACAAATGCATACCTCAGAGGATTATCTTGGGACAAGTGAACTGGCATTTGTAAAACGTGTCTGGAAAGTAGCAAAGGCAATGTAAGTTTCTGTCCAAAATTCTGATAATTTAAAAGGAGGATATTACTGGTACTGTGTTCTGAGTAGTTCTATAGAGATGTCCTCCAGACACCTTGAATCCACATGTGAAAACCAGGCTTTGAGGGAGTACACAGCAGTGGACAGAGCAGACTCCCTTAACACACCTGTAAAATTAAACCAAAAATAATTGCCCCATCCAAACTTTGCTTTGAGGATTAACTGACTATTTACATAAAGACCCTGGAGAAGCACCTGGTGCTGGGTTGGTGCTCACTGAAGTTTAATTTTCTGGCTAGATAGTTAACTATCTCTGCTAGGGAGTGACTGGTGTCATCTCTGCTCTCATTCCATTGGCCCAAACTAGTCCAGCACAACCTGCCGTTGCAAGGGCTCCCTATCTCTGAAGCTTCAGGCATCACCCCAAACTTACACACACACACACGTGTGTGCACGGATGCATACATACACACAGTCAGTGGTGGGCACCACCTCACCACATCAGTGCAGCACCATAGAAGGGGATCACAAGATCTTGCTGACAGTGGACTGTCTAAGCCACAACCTTAGCAACCCAGGAGTTCCACTGCCTGGTAATTTAAAAAGGATACTAAGAGAGAGCCACACAGCATCACCTGTCTCAGAGAAGAAAAGCCCCATCAGCTTGTCATATCTAAGAACCAAATCTGATTCCATCCATCTAAAGTTTTTAAGTTTCACACTGTTTCACATCAACAACTTAATACCTCTCAAATCAGAATGTGTCTCATAATTGGCAATGTTGTACAATTATAATTGGCAGAAGTTCATTTTCTTTTCCTTAGTGGACGATAAAGCAGTGGTACATCAGGGGCAGCTTATATCCAATCACAGTTCGTCACTAAGAAGGAAAAGATAGTAAACTAAAGGAACAAATGGTTAAACAGGGATAAAAGAGCTTTGCTTCCTGAGGACTCCTGAGAACATGGATGACTGTGCATTTTGCATCTACAAAGGGAAACCGAATACTCTATGTTTTCTGCGGTATTTTTTTGACCCATGTAACTCTTTTATCCTCAGACACCCATTACCAGTCCAATATCCATTAATGTGCCATGGCCCAATGCTCTTGTGTAGATAATACAGAAAATGCTGCTTTTAAGCAGAAGCATAAAGGAGATTTTCTTGGCTCCAGGTGACCCAATTCCTGTCCCTCCTATTGTGTCTTCACACTAAGTACTGTCCTGTTCATTTCAATATTTTCTTCCCAAATGCTCTTGTCTATCTTAGGATGTTCCTCACAGCTATGAAGGGCAAATGAGTGCCCCCCCACCCCGGTGATCCACCTATGTAGTGCCTCCGCTTCCCCAGCCCACAATGTTTATGACTTTTCTGTGTTATTTTAAAAGCTGCTTTGAATTTCTCCTCTCTCTGTTATCCGTTTCTATCAGGCCTTGTATGATGTTCATTACTATTGAATACACAAATAGATACATGGTAAGCGGTTGACAGACACATTCATGCATGCAACATGCCTGCATTTCTTGTTTAACATGGAGCTAGTGTTTTAGAGTATTTGCCGTGCCCACCATCCCCAAGTAGGCACTGCCACTTTCTCCTCCAGGCTCCCACGGCAACCATCTTCACACGCGAGAGGGGTGAATTATCTTCCTCTCCCACTAATCCTTCGGCTCCTTGATGACAGCCGCTGAATCTGGAGAATCTCTATATACTCCGTGCCTAGGAAAAGTCCAATAAACGTTAGTTGCATTGATGATTATAATAACTTTAAATAACAATAGCAATTGATTTGGAACTCATTTTATATGAGCCTGTCTGGCTAATAAGAGGAGGATATTAGGCTAATAAGAACCAAGAGAGGACAGGTTGAGCCTGTTACCTCCATGATGGTGGCCCCAATGCCTAGTTGCTATCAGTATATAGAAAGTGCCCAGTAAACACGGAATGAAAGAACAAGTGGGTAAGATATAATCAGGTCTCCCCGTGAGGTCTGGCCCATCAGGTTTCTCCTCCTTAGAGCAATTTCTGAGGAGAAAGAAGCCGAAAAGTGAAAAGGATATCTGCTGTCATTTTCCAGAAGTCGAGCTGGTATGTGATGCAATCCCATGCTAGACTTGCAAGTCACCGTGCAAGGCATCACTGTGGACAGCACATGTTTGCAGAACCCAGGGATGTATGACACAGACTTTCGAAAGGCAAAGCATAAAGTCGTGAATAAGTTAGATCTCTTGTCACGTCGTCAGTTGATTCCACAGGGGCTCTCTTTCTCTTCAGTCCTCCGCACTGGAGGAATCTAGGGATCTAGGAGTTATCAGACTGGGAAATGAAAGACAAACACGCCAGTTGCACCCACACACTTGGAGCACTGAAAAATATCCCGTATATGGTTTCCTTGAGGTTCAAGAGATAACAGTCTAATCCATGCGTAGTCCCAAGGGTGGTGTGAGAGTCAGAGCATCGTCACTAATAGAAGCAACTTATGTCACTGACCTTCCACAAGGCCCCAGCTCCAGGCTTAGTCTTTCTGAGAGCCCTGCTTATGGGCTGTGCCTTCTGCTGCAGAAATTGTGCTACTCCCCAAACTGTTCCTCATGTGCTCACCCCGACCGCCTCAGACCTCAGACCTGAACTCTTTTCCTTCTACGAGCAAAGTACACACATTCTATTGGCCTCAAACATCAGTGCAAGTTGTTAGGTATCCCCTGCTTTGCTGATGGATAGGGAAAGAGGGAATCTATAAAATCTAAGGAGCAGAGGTGGTCCAAGGAGGCCTCCTTGGTAGAAGGGACATGAGGAGTAGGGGGCAAAAATAAAAGTAAACTAAAAGGTGGGGTGCTCACCTAAGTTTAAGATCTTTCCAACCAGTTATATCTTATTTTATTTTTATGTAAGCATTTGCCTCCACTCTTACTTTGAGTCAAAACAGTAAATAAAAGGCTGAGTATGATGGTTCACATCTGTAATCCCAGCATTTTGAAAGGCTGAGGCGGGACAGTGGTTTGAACCCAGGATTTCGAGGTTACACGGAGCTATGATCAGGCCATTGTGCTCCAGCCATGGTGACAGTGAGACCATGTTTCAAACAAACAAACAAAAAGAGCAGTAAAAGGAAGACTCCCTCCTAGTACTTTCTTGGTCTTAGAAGGTTGAGATGCCAGATAGTAGAAAGATACAGAGACCAAGAAAGAAACTAAAAGGTTGGATGTGACATTGTGGGAAGAATTGTGCTCAGGGTAACATAAAATTATCTTTGGAGTACTAAACATAAATTCGTTTCAGTCTTGACCCTGCCCTTTTGATTTACCCCCAAAGAGACTGTGTCTTTTTCATCTAGTTCCTGTAGAAGTCAGCACAAAGGATTTAGAGTAAATTGTCCACTGAATGTTTCAATTAAAAAAAAAAAATCTCAGTGACATGCCATGGGGTAATAACTGAAACACATGGACAGTGGCATGCCATGGGGTAATAACCGAAACACATGGAGTGTGCATTAGTTTGGGGGTACTTGTTCCATCACTTCCTACCTATGTGACTTCAAACAAATCACTTAACATTGTGCGCCTTACTTTGCTTCT